AATGGGAAAGGGGAAGGCAGCGATGTCGGAAAAGAAACGGCGCTCTTTTTGGAGACGTCGCGACGCAAGATAGATCGGTATGGGGCAAAAGAGTATGCACTTGATCTCCAATCCAGGGAGTGGCCGGAGTGACACTATGCACTTGATCTCCGTTTTCTTGCACACTATAGGGTCAATGTAGTCAGAGGGGATGTACATCCTTTGGGTAACTAAGATATGCTTTTTGACCCTTAAAGAAAATTCAAAATCAACAAAGAATGCCCTGCAAAATCCTTTGGTTCCAGCGACAACGGGTGCAAGGTATTTGTGTGAAGCCTTCGGTGGAAGCTGCCCTCGATGATCCGAATGAGGAGGGTTTAGAAGGATTGGCCAAGACCAAAATGAACATGGGATCAAGACACATGGGGGTTGTTCAAAAGTATTGTTCCGGAAAAGTAACAGTATTGTAGAGGAACTGTTTGCACATGGTTGAAGAATTGGAGACTGGCTTAGCTCATTAGGGCTATTGCAAGTTAACGGAAATTACGTAGACCCCCCTCGACTGCGAAGATCGGAGCGAACCTGAATGAAGATGCTCGCGAGCAAGTAGAGGTCTGGCAGTGGAGGAATGGAAAGGCGTCAAGAATAGTTGGGAGGAAGAGATGCGCAAGCAACTGCAAGACTTCTTTGTTTTCGATCACGCGGAAGATTGCAATGCAACACTTCTTGTTTTCGATCACGCGGAAGATTGCAAGTACTTCAGATCTAGAGCCCGAGCCGGTCAGCCGCTGAATGTGCGCGCGAGGACTGCGAGCGTCTCAGCGTCCAGGTCTTCGGGGAAGTCCACGCGGTAGAAGGCGTCAGCCAAGGCAGCGGCGATCTGGCGGAGCTCGGTGAGGCTGTGGTGGGTGAGGGTACGAGAAGTGTGAACCCAGCCGCCAGGGCTGTTCGAGCGAGGAAGCCCAGCTTGCACAAGGGACTCACGGCGAGCATAGGATGGCCCGGTGACGACGAAGTGAAAGCTGCCTGTCTGATCGTTCGATGGGAGGGCGTGGAGGGTGACATGACTTCGAGCACCTGGTCAGGAGCATCTCGCAGGCGCCATACCGGGTGCTGCACGCCTTGGTACTCGACAGGAAACGGGACTGCATCCAGCAAAGCCTCCTGGTCAATCTCTGCAGGGCACCACAACCGGATCTTAGGCACCTGCAGTGAAGATTCCTGAGTCTGGCGCCAGGTGATGAAGGCGGAGAAGTGCTCAAGCATAGCGGGAAGCCCCTCAGGTCCTCCGCCAACGTAGCACACGGTGTGCCATGGTGGGCCGGCGCTGAAGCTCCACAGGAGTTGGCACATCGCCGCCTGCGAGAAAGGTATCGAGTGGTCTCGGTCTAGGTGAGGGGGCATGGAACGAAAGGGTGGGGGACAGGACGAGAAAGGATTTTGGATTGCGGAGCACAGACAGGAAGAAAACTGACTCGATTGCAGCAGAGGTGCGAGATCCGTCAAGCTGCACGGGACATTCCCGGTAGCTTTCTCTTCGTCGGTTGCGGCGGCTGCCGTGGCCCGGAGGTAGTTGCCCAAGTTCTCCCGCAACTGGAAGGTTGCTGAAGGCGTAGTGGCTGAGCCTTGCTGCTGCACAAAGACCAGGTATGCCGGTTGGGCGTCTTCAAACTCCGTGTGGATCTGCGACCCGTTGCGGGCATATTCGAGAATAGCGACATCGAGATCAAAGGACCCAGCCGAAGCCCCTGCAGCAGACGATTGCCCGGTGCGGCTACGGCGCACGATAAACGCCCTCGGACTCTTCTTGGGTGATGCCACGGCCGGTGCGGGGACCGGCGAGGCAGGTACACTTTGGTTAGGCACTGCAGGCATCTCAGGCGCAGGTGGCTGACTCGTCTTGGGTGATGCCACGGCCGGGGCGAGACAGGTGCACTTGGGTTGGGCAATCCCGGCGTCTCAGGCACAGGTTGAGTTGTTCCTCTAGGGGTTGGAGTTTCTCCCTGCCGAGGCATGATAGTTTCAAGGCGAAGCGCACCGTAGCGGAGGCGTGGAGCCAAAGTAGCTACAGAGACATGAAGAGGCACGGCCAAAAGGACAAAGGCAGTCCGGTCCAGTCTCCGTTTGTGTCGGAAAGAAGCTTGGGTTGACAGAGAAGTCGGATTTTTCTTAATTTGTCCAATGCCCCGTGTCTTCCAGCACAATTCCTTCAACGCTTGAAGGCGCATGACCCGGGGGCACAGCCTAGCACCAGAGTCCTATTAAGATGTCCCGCGCTGACTGCACAATCATGAATACTAACTCCAACTAATCCATGCAATCCACTGAATTGGTAGGCTTTCACTTCACTTCCCTGCCTGAGCCATCGCCTGTGATTTTTCCATTAGAACACCGTGCAGCACAGGAATGCTGCATCTGTACAGTCAATTTGGTTATGCTGGTCAAATTTGTGAAGTTGTTCACCCCAAAGTCCATCATACTTCCTGAAGTTCTGGACTCCTGCCTCAGAATGGGAATCGTTTCTTGTGAAAACTCTACCGGATCTATGCGAACCAAATCGAACCAACCTCAACTGTCAAGTACTCAACTGTCAATTTCAGCTCAACGCCGCCCTGGTCTAACTTTGGACCTCTCTACTTGGGCACGATGCAGAAGGGCCTCGATGATATTGCCCCTAAAATTCATACGTCCAGAGCCGGACTTCTCACTGGTGGACCCGCACCTGCGATAAGTGGATATAAGTGGCGGACATCGTTTGCTGCAGCTTGTGGGGTTGAGAGAAACGATGCAACATCAGAATGTGATAGGTAAAATCCAAACATACATTCCCCGGATCGTCATATGTGCACTGGCCGGCACCTTTCCTGATATCTCTGTCGGAGGGGATCTGGATGTAGGTCGGCAGCCAATCCTCAGACTCCACAAACTGCAGCCCAGTAAACGTCACCAACGTCCAAGCCCGCATCGACGTTGGCAATTGACGAATTTGAGCAGGCATCATCATGTCTTGCAGATCCCCCAATGCAGAGCCCTGCTGCAGCCATTGCCCCCAACATAGACCACATGGGCCCAACTTGGCCCAACCTCGGGCGAAGATGCGCGCCAGATAGGTTAACTTTGCTCAATATAGGCCCCACCAAGGCCAACATAGGCGTGACATACGCCCCACAGACCCAAGTGGGCCGGCGCCCGGCTGTTAGGCGTAAGCCTTTAAATCCGGGCGCCGGCCAGGACGCCCGTGGTGGTAACCGAAGGTTATAGACGGGCGCGCTGGCTGCCGCCGACCCTCGTCACCAAAACGGGCGGACCGCCAGGTCACTTCCTGTCAACTGATGCCCCTGTAATTTACAGTGTATCGTGTGTGTGAGGTATAAAAAACACTGTGTTTTACAGGGTTTATTGCGCATATCGAAGTACGACGCGGGGAAAAGGGAAAAATACAAAATGCTGTGTTTTTCAAGGGTGGTGTCGGTAATGCGCGCCGGGCGGACAGGCTTAATCGACATTTTGTGGGTAAAGGCCCTCCAGACGACTTACATTTCCTAACATATCCTCAACATAGGCCCAAGACAGCCAACATATCCCCAACATAGCCTCCAAGATGGCTCAACATAGGGCCAACATAGGCCAACATGGGGCCAACATGGGCCCAACATAGGCCCAACCTCGGCCAACATAGGCCTAACATAGGACAACGTAGGCTCAACATAGGCTGAACATGGGTCCAAGATGTGCCCAACATAGACCACATGGGCCCAACCTAGGGCCAAGATGACCTTGCCCCCACCCAGGGCCCTGTACGCCCCCGATAGCTGCACGTGCACCCGACCCAGCCCTATACCCTAGTGTGCCGGCGCCCGGCTGTTAGGCGTAAGCCTTTTAATCCGGGCGCCGGCCACGCGCCCGTGTCCTCGCCGGAGGCCTTCGGTTGGTAACCGAAGGTTATAGACGGGCGCGCCGGCTGCCGCCGACCCTCGGGACCAAAACGGGCGGACCACCGGTTCACGGAAGCCCCTGTAATTTACAGTGTATCGTGTGTGTGAAGTATTAAAAACACTGTGCTTTACAGGGTTTATTGCGCATATCGAAGTACGACGCGGGGAAAAGGGAGAAATGCAAAAGTGCTGTGTTTTTCAAGGGTGGTGTCGGTAATGCGCGCCGGGCGGACAGGCTTAATCGACATTTTGTGGGTAGAGGCCCTCCAGACGACTTACATATCCTAACATATCCTCAACATAGGCCCAAGATAGCCAACATATCCCCAACATATGCCCAACATAGCCTCCAAGATGGCTCAACATAGGGCCAACATAGGCCAACATCGGGCCAACATAGGCCCAACCTGGGCAAACATAGGCCAACACAGGCCTAACATAGGCCAACACAGGCTCAACATAGGCTCAACATGGGCCCAAGATGTGCCCAACATAGATCACATGGGCCCAACTTGGCCCAACCTAGGGCCAAGATGCGCACCAGATAGCTTAACTTTGCTCAATATAGGGCCCCCGTCTCCGACGCGGACCAGTTTCCCACCTTGGCACCACCCAGGGCCCAATACGCCCTCGATAGTTAACGCGCACCCGGCCCAGCCCTACACAGTGGGCCGGCGCCCGGCTGTTAGGCGTAAGCCTTTAAATATAGTAACTTCATTGCAATTTGGATTCACAGCTGATACTTCACTGACAAACACTATGGGCGAGCTGCTATATAGATACATACATGTGTCAGAAAATGTACATTCGTGTGTACTGATGGGATGCTCTGCCACACCCCCTTCCATACTACCGATGAGAGTCATCTTATTGCTCTCATCACGACATGGCCGCATCCTCTGACACGTAGCGTTTTCACTGACCAGTTGTCTGTGAGTATTTTGGCCAGCCCTCTCCAAACAACCTTGCCACAAGCAGGGTGAAAAATGCCAATGTCACTCAGAAAGGACCTAAGAAATGAAGACAAGTGCCTCCTTCGTCTCCCACCCCCCTGAAGCCTATCTTCTCTGGCTGCGTCCAAGGCGCATGAGATCGTTGTCCTTCTCCTTGCGCTCACGGGCTCTTCGCCGCGCAGCGCGCTGCTGCGCGCTGTGCAAGATCTGGTCGAAGGAGTGGACCTGAGGGTTGTCCGAAGCACTCCGTTCACCGCGCTGGGCCAGTGAGGGTTGTCCGTCGTTCTGTTGGTCTCCATGAGCTGGACGAAAAGTCGAGGTTGGAGCTATAACTAGTAACAAAAAGCTACTAGGTTACTAGATGTTACTAGTAACAAGGGCATTGCTTCTAGCAACAACGGCGATACTAGTAGTACCAAGATGTAAAAGGAAATCTCCATCAGGCCATGTGGCCGGCACGATGGGTGGCAAGGATGGAAGCCCTTTGGACTTGGTCCTGAAAAGTGCGCGAGGACGTGAGGCCTCAAATCCATGATCAATACCATTAAAACCTTGTTTCCGAACTATTTCAACCAACATCATGCCTGCATGGACGGATCTTCCCTGCATGGACGGATCTTCTTTGTTTTCTTCCCACCTCATGATGACCTCATTGAGGACCTCCCAAAGATCATTGAGGACCAGTGCCCTGCAACAAAGAAAACGGGTGGCAGGTTAACGTCGTCCTCATGCGGGAGCTCTTTGAACTGGCCCGACTGTCATTGGCCTCTCGGGGCTACAAACAAGGGCAACGGGCAATGCTGCTTGCGTCTGGAACTCAACACCTCATTGGCCCAGAAAGATCAACGGAATGACACGGACTGAGACCATCAACAAGTACCTGCTCCTTCTTAAGGATGCATGACAGCACAACCGACCTTCGATACACATCAATATAGGCCTGGGATACACATCAATAAAGGTCAAATGCGTCCTGTAAATGAGCGCGTGTGCAACATTGGCTAATGCCCATGTTCACATTGGAGAATGCCCCAAGTATCCTGGCCCTCTCAGCCTTGTTGATCTTTGAAGCACATCTGCCCTGATTTTGCCGCGGAATGTACAGTAACCACTGCGAATGTCCAACTTACAAGGCTAAGTGATCAAACCATGATGTGGGTGTGGCCCTAAGGCATTGAGGAAACCTATCTGCGCTCAGCATCGACTTTACCGGACCTTCGAGTCTATGTCAGCTGGTGTACTTGCAACTCCCCGGTAGAAAGCCCCTCTGCTGCAGCAGGTTCATCACAGTTTTTGTGGGGCACCATGGTGCACCACAATAAGCACCAATATCAATTGATGGTATGAAACAATTGATCTCTCAAACAAAATCCTTCACATTTCCTCAGAATAGTTTGGTGTATCTTATTACTATCCATCCACATTCTCATTGTGGTGTGTTTTCCCCGGGGCAAACACATTCTTAGACACACCATGAGCAACGCCCATTTTGGGGGACGCCATTCCAATGGTCTCGCCGCTGATCTTGGCCACGGCACGAGGTCTGCGAAGCTCCTGTCAAGGAGTGAAGCGGCGATGCGCCAACGACCGTATGGCATGGGGATGCTAGGCTAGGGGCAACTCATTTTGCAGGGAAGGCAGTCCTTTAAAGGACAGGAATCAAAGCAAAGGTGAGACATGGTGAGACAATATTTTATGAAACAACTAGTCGACTGGGATCTGAGCTTGAATAAGGCGAGCCTTAATTCACCAACATCTTGACCTGTGCCAAGAAAACCATCTGACTGAGAGTTTGAGGAAACCCTTGGAGGTCTCATGTTCTCACATGCCAAAAAAATCCTTGTGCAACTCCCTTTCCTCGTGCCAGTTCCCTCTCTCCAAGCCTCCAAGCTGTGCTCCCAGTGGTGCTACTCAAATCCCGAGCGCCTGCATTTCTTGAGGGTGGGCGTGTGGCTCCGACCAACGGTTGGAGGGTTATTTTCGAGACGGAACGCCCGGTCAAGGGAACATGCATATCCGAAGGGATTCGTTCATGCCCTGCATGCCGGCTGAATCCGTTAAAGTTTGGGTCACCTTGCAACAAACATCACTAAGCCTGGCGGGTCGACCCTTGCCAGTGCTCCCGAATGACTTGTGTCATACAATGTATGTGGGTAACATTTGAGATAAGAATTGTTCTTTGTGTCAAACTAATCTCTGAATGGAAATGGTGCTACTATGCACGCATTAATCTTGATGTCTAGCTTCCAAGGATCACATCCCGAGGATCATGCACCACATGTATCTCTATCATGCACCACACCCATGGAATTTGGAGACCCTATGTGATCATGCATGCTTCGTAGCAGCGGTAGGTCTTTCATGTTCTCGGTCGATGCAACCCTCTTTCTGCTAATCTCGGTCGACAACAAATCAAAAACTGACTACAACCCCTACAGCAACCTGAGGGATGATGGCCTACCACACTGCCTGCCACTTCATCTACCATATCCTATAATATCCTATATGGATTGATCTACATAGTATATGTACATCACTGCTACATCTCTGCGTTTTTGCGGACTGCTGTTGAGTTGGTCAAACAAGCAAAAGGGAAAGTATAACAAGTGTGTTTGAAACAATTCCTGACCCCTCAACTCTTTTATTTGTGGCTGGGATGTGCTTGTTTAATCAGAATCATTATATAGATTGATATCATTAGAGTGTCCCTTTTCTCTCAGTTGTTTGGTGGCCTAGCCAAGTTTTCTATTGCTTAGTCATTTGTTCTTTTGGATTCTTTTGTACTTAGCTGTTACTTGCTTGAATCATTGAACTCTGACATGAAACACTCTTCAAACACCTACCATTCAAATGCATCCAAAACATTGCCCCGAATTTTGTCAAGTTGGTAGTCCACAAGCGTTGTGGAATTCAATATTAATAGTATATATGTTTAAAAATATGTGTTGATATGTTTTGATTGTTTTTGCAGTATCATGTTTTGGTGGCTGGGATCATGATAAACGGGTTGCAAGACATACCATCGAGCCATTGATCTCATTTGATTTGCCTTCCTTTCTTGATTTCCTTCTGCTTCCTTTCTTAAGGCAAATCAACGAACAGAATTCCCGTTCATGTCCCTTTGCTTCTTTTCTAAAATGAGAAGGAATTCAACAAAAGGAAATCCAATATCCGTTTCACAAGCAATTCCTAGGTCATAGGCAAAACTCGCTGGACATGTTGTGGGGCGCATCACACTCTGGACTCTCACCCTATTGTTTGTTGGAAGGATGGGTCTATTAACGAAACAAGTCTGACAGTTATGGTGTGTGACTTTTCTGACTTGCAACGTTCCGAAAGAAACATCTGCAATATCACCAGCCCGCCCGACAGCCCGGCCCTCCCTTGCCTGAAGGCATTGCGGCAAGCCAAGCATCACACGGGAGATGATCGTCTTGACATGACCAGGGCTGGTGAACCCCAAAGACAAAATGCGTGTTTCTTTCTGACTCTATAACTTCCACAAAGGTTCCAAACGCCCGAACCAACATGTGCCATGAAGGGGGTCGAGCTCTTGTTGACACGCGTGCGTGCTCTTGCTAGCTCTCCCTTCCTCTCTCTGGACTGTGTTTGGCCGTCTCCTTGGGAGAGCAATGGCTGCGATCCAGCACCACATCTCCACCACTCAAAAGGCAGCACATCACGATCTGATCAACATGTGCATCCTTCCGACCGGCCCTACATAACATGCCTCAATTGCCTGAACTCATGTATCTGATGTCATGTCAACCACTGCAACTCATGGTAGCTGGTGCGCAGGAATTATTCGAGTCAATCAACTTGGTGCCACCTGCTGTGAAAATATTCCCCGTGGCACGAAGCCAAAACCCCGCTCAGATCCAGCCCCGCCCTTGAGCTGCCACGCTCGCTTGCTACCGAAAGGAACTGCGAACATCGCCGCCTTCCATGCCCATTCGAGGTTGGGCCTCAAGCGCCGTCCGCTCACGAGCTGTGCTGGGCCGACTTTCAAACCAATGGACTTCCAACATCCCCAGCCGCAAGCCCTGAGCAGTCGAGTCTACGTGCCGCAGCGGGTGCACCACGTCCATGGATTTTTCGGCTCCTCACTTAAGGGGCCCCAAATATGGAACTCCTGAGTCCTGGATGTGGTCGTCTTCCCTCCCTGCAGCTCCTCTTTTGGCTCAAGCTCATGAGATCAGTGACCAGGTGATTCCGGCCTCACACGTGCTCACAAGCGAAGTTCGAACGAAGTCAGTGGGTGGTATGTGCAGGGCAAAAGCAGTCAGCAAATACATGCATGTGACTGCATGTGCTTCCACATTTGGACATGTTCATGCTTGCTTCACACCAAGCACCTCTCTAATGACCTAAGCCTATGGTATACGGTATACAGTAAACAGTTGCCTCTTGGTTACTCACTGTCCAAAGGAATTACAGTAGATTGGACATGATACACCCAAAAGTGTCCCAAATTGTCATGCTTCCTCACCTTGATGTCACACGCCCGCACCTTCCAATGGAGCCTTCGATCATTTCCGAATCTTGATGGTGTCCTGGTGTAGCCGCATCGCCGGGAAGCTGCTTGAAGCTGCTCCGAACAGCCCCCCCACGTGGAAGAGAGAGGGAGAGAGAGTCCCTTGAATAAATGATCCAACAACAAGGGCCCGACAGTCTCTCAAATCAGCACAACAGTTTCTCCGACAGCAACAGTGGGGGCACCAAAAGGATCTGTGTAAGCCTCAGAAACCTACTAAGCAAAATTGAGCAGGTCATTGGGATTTAGCATGGCCAAATGCGCACATATTGCCCATTCATGTGGCTTTTGCACTCTGTCAGCTGAAAAAAGAACTGACTTTGTCAGCTGAAAGCACAGTGACTTCGCGTATGGCTAGCTGCCCTCCTGCTTGGCCAGTGGTAATCGCTCAGGTTCTCTTTGTCGTTCAGCCTGGCGAGGACCCGATGTGCACTGGCAGTACAAGTGAATATCGCAAATCCAAACGACACACGAAGAGAAACAAACACTATTTCAATTAGTATCAGACAGTCAAACAGTCATTGTGTCACCTTATGCATCCTTATACACACTAGAATGTCAAACAAATTGTGACCTTGTTTTCTTATCTTATTATCATATCATATCCTATCTAGTGAACTGGAATTTCATCCAGCTTGTCTTTGAACGAACTGAACTCGTTCAAACAACTTGCCATGCAACACCTGCAAGGGAAACAACATAATATATAGCTTAGAGCTTATTCTATGGTGGGAGGGTTCCCATAAAATCCCTCAAGTATGAAAAGCACAAAACCAAGTGCAAAATGATGCAGCGAGGGCAGGGCTGGTGTTGTTAAACAAGCAGCCAAATGAAAGAATCAAGCAAAGTAGGCCATAGGATGCCATAGGCATCTTCGACTCCTGCCAGTTTTGCTTCGTCACCAAGGGTGGAAAGTCCCACCGTCTCTTAGGTCTGGCAGCCTGCTCCTGCAGCTTCAAGCGGCTCCACAGCAGAACACCTGTGATGGTCACCGCGAAACCAACCTCTTGTGCTCGGCTAATGGGATCCTCAGTGCCGGACGTCGGCACCGGGTTCGGAATGGTGAGACTACTCGTCGCACAATCTGATTTTACCCGGGCTGAGGTCGAAAGAAACACACCGAGCCAGTGTCCATCACTCCCCAGTCAAAAAAATAACACATTGAACAACACGTGGATAAAAAGAGCAGAAAAGAAACAGCAAATGCAAAGAACATGAACGAAAATGTTATGAACAAAAAAGATCGAAAAAGTATGATTGCCATGGCCTGTGTGACAGTCTGTGTGACATAAGGCCGACAATGCAATGTTTTTTGTCTCAAGTGGTGCTGCTGCTGTCTTTTCGACGTGCCAACGCAAAAACTACCACACAATAATTATATACTACACGCAAGCAATCAGGACTAACCGACCGACTGCTTATTCCAAGGCTCGCCAAAGACCAAAGAGGAAGAAGACACAATCACCATGTCCTTCCAAGGCATCAATTGCACACTCTCAAATGTCAGCAAACGAGGAAATCCCGCATCGCATGGTTCGCGTTTGACTTGATTTGCTTGTCCGCGTTTTGCTGATTCCATGGACAATTACTGTCTGTATATATTTCTTATTCAATCTAGGCAAGATGTACAGTTCGCAATGACAAAACAAAAAATAAACACACACATTGTGATCAGTGACAAGCAATCTCAACACTGGGCCAATCCGATTCGACGGCACACTTTTGACCCTTTGGCGAGGCCAATGAAGGGAACCTGCCTTCTGTCGGAGCCCGCGTTGACCGGTTGCGCGAGAGCAAAACCGGTCGCTCAGTGAAACGGTGATCATTCCTTCGGCTGTTCTGAGCATCGTAAGAACAATTTGTCCACCATCCTCAGGGTCATGTCATGCACCACACTGATACCTTCTCCGAAAGCTCGGCAACAAAATCACCATGAAACTCGTGGACAATGGCGTTGCTGTTGAAGACGATGCCCAGCTGAAAGCAAATTCGCTCAAAGTCCATCAAAGTCCTCTATTCTATTCCAAAGTTGAAGCAAGGCAGCAGGTCGTGTAAACTGAGGCATTCTACGAAAAGCATCGAGAAGCCCTTCAACCAACTTCTCCCGCAAGGCCCAAACAAGAGCTTCCGGCTGCACCAAGTTGCCTAAACACACCCAACAAGGTTATGATCTCTAGAATTCTGCACCGAAGCGTGTACCACCGGGATGTTCTGGTACAGTAGTGCCCTGAGCCCATCGGGGTCGACCAAACCAAATCCAAGCGACGAGAGGAGCAAGCCAACCCATTTGAGACACAGTGGGACATAGCCGGCAAAGTTAACGTAGCCACCACCACTGTATGGAATTCGAACATGGCTTATGAATAGATCCACCGGTGATACTTTTCCTACAAGCCCTGTTCGTGCTCGGTGCTCGACTGGCACACTCCACATTCCCCGCCCCGTGGCAACACTGCGAAGAAATATGAAAATTGGGTACTGGAAGAGCGGTAGCATGATCATCTCGATCAAAATAAGATGCAGGAAGGCCGGAAAGCACAATGATGCTTTTCCAGCGGTCGAAGAGCTGCAGGCCATCATTGGGAACCCACCAAGGGATGCAATCAGGATCAATTAGCAAATAAGAGGTATTTGAATGTCCTACTGACTGCTCGCGTTGCTCGGCATTGCTCAAGAACTCACAGGTCACAACATCTACAGTCAAACACATAACCTCGAACAGTTTAGCGTCCCAAAGCCGGGTGACATTAGCATGCATTGGGCAAAAGACTGAGTCACTGCATTCTCTGTAATGGCAAACCCCCTCCAGGATGAGATGGACCTGCGTTCCTTGTCGCGGTTTGTTTGAGCCATCTGCAAAGCCTAGAATGATCCAACAAATGTTTACTCCCTTTTTTATGGACATGTGTAGGGGAAACCACTTCTGAAGCCCGCCACGGTCCTCTGTTTCTACGACTGGTGCTGCTAGGGCTGCAGTCTCGAAACGGCTCTTGTCCTTGACAACTCCAATGATCACAAAGGCCAAGGCTGAGAGTTTCTTCAAGGTCACTGCTATCAGCACCTGAGTAAAGCCGCGTTCGTCCTAAAATGGCGCTTGAAAAAAGAAACTGCCGAAGGCATTCTTGGCGCTCAAGGGGGGTGCTCGATGCAATCAAAAACGTCATGAAACATCAACCTTGAAGGAATGCAACATAAACAAAAAACTATATACTACTATAGTAGTTCTCTTACTGCTACTGCTGCTCCTCCTACTCCTGCTACTCCTACTCCTGCTACTCCTACTCCTGCTACTCCTATTCCTACTCCTATTCCTACTCCTACTACAACAACAACTACTACTACGACGACGACTACTACTCCCGCTACTCCTACGCACAATTACAAAATGAAGAGGTTCCGAAAATGACAGTGACGTTGAAGAAAAGACCACGGCCCACTGCAGTGTACGCTGGAACTTCCCACTGAGAGCAACAGTGTGAACACACACACACACCATACCGTTCACACAGTACTCGGAGTACTCGTTACTAAGCTCGGCGCATTCAGCAAGAAAGCGATGCAAGCATTCACAATGAGCCAGTGCCAACTTAGTTCGACAGCGGGACTCCATCTTTCAACCGATGAAATTCAGCCAGGCAATAGACAGCCAAATCAACTAAATATAGGTGCTGCTTTCCTGGACAAAACTATGAGGTTTTTGTTTGGATACTTCACTACTCCTCAATACTTCTGTAAATACTTCAGTCATGCCAAGTGGTGAGCTCTTTGTTGTGATCCAGCCGTGACATGGTGAGCTCTTTCAGCTGAGGTTCTGCTTCTTGAAATCCGATACCACATCTGGAGTCCAGGAGCAAAAGACCCCAACTGCCAAGAAAAGCAATGAGAAAGGTGCCTGAGAAAGCCAGTCAAAAGAAGCATGACTCCTTTGTTTTGAGC